GGAATAAAATTAAAGAGATGATAGTTTTTATATAAAATAGATGCTATCATGGAAAATTACATACTTAATTACAGCTTACTTAGTGTAATATCCTTAATATTTAAGAAAGATGACCCTTTTCGTCATCTCGGCTGGCTGAAATAACGGCAATAAAATTAAAGGGAAAGAAAAATATAAAAGGGACACAGACTAGATAACCAAACACACAGTATAAAAATTACACAAATTTCTGATGACACAACTGTTTTTCTGGGATCTAAGGAAGAGATATCCTTAGCAATAAATGAACTAGAAAATAAAATTAAAATAAAACAGAAGGTAAATGGGTAGGTAAACTAAAAAAACTGAAAAGAAATAATAAATGAAATAAACTGGACAGATAAACCAACCAAGGGATTGGGTTTATATTTTGGACAAGAACAACTTGAATGCCAGAGGCTAAATTGAGAAAATAAAATAGAAAACATGAAAATAATAATTAACGATTGGTTTAGACGAAAATTAACTATGATAGCGAGAATTTTAATTATCAAAACTATTATAATGCCAATATTCACGTTTTTGGCAAGCGCCTGTGTCGTACCAAAAATCTAATGCATCTAAAGGAAATAGAAACATCTTGCTTTGAGTTTTTGTGGAATAGTAAACCTGAAAATTAAGAGAGCTACTTTAATTGGTTATTTTAATTCGTTAAAAGCAATATGGGCCAACAGATTATTAGATTAAAATTTCGCTAATTGGAAGATTATACCATTAAAATTTTATAATAAACTTGGAAAGGACCTTTTAATTTTTCACATGAATATAGACAGTATAAAATCTATCCCAAATATGAAATCTGTACCAGAATTCTTTCAAAATATAATAACATGCTAGGTGAAGACTAGACAAATCCAAAATCCAGAAACTCATATCCAGATTAGAAAGCAAATATTATGGGGAAATAAACATATTAAACTTAACCAAAAAAGTCTAATTTACGAAAATTGGATTAATAGTAAAATAATTCATCTAAATGATATTCTTGGTGATAAAAACCAAATTTCACTGCAAAATAAAATAAACAAGGTACAGAAGAAATCCAACTGGATATCAGAATTCAAAACGATTAAAACATGGGGAACATACAACATTGATTGACTTCACGTAAATTATACAATTCACTGGTTGATTACAAATTTATAAAACCAATTGCAATAAATTATAAATTGCGATACTTTAAAAAGGAAAATATAATAATATCCTTTATATTCACGATTTTAGTAGACAATCATCTAAAAATATTTAGATGGAAACGTCTTCAATGTATTATTCCAAATCAAAATTTGTTATACAAATGGAAGATTAGCGATAGTCACCTTTGCAAGTTCTGTTCAGTAGAAGAAAACTATGATCATTATTTTGTAACTTGTAAATATCTTGAACTATTATGAGAAAAAATATGTATCTACTATCAACATTACACATCGATAAACAAATAACATTAAAAGATCTTGTGTTAGGTTACAAATACTACGATACAAATTACTTTGAATTAAATTACTTGTTAATTATTGTTTCATTATCAAATATCTGATCAAAAAACTAAAAACATTGATGCTGGTTCTTAAGACATTGTTTTGTAATGCTCATTATCGAACTTAGTCAAGGTATTGATGTAATGAAACTATAATACAATACAATAATAATATGGAAGACCAAACCTCTCTTTTTTTCCAGTTTTCTTAATTCTTAGTTCCTAATTCAAACATTTGTTTTACAAATCCGACATTTGTCATATTATCAGATTTGTAAATTGTATCTTTGCTTAATTTAATTATATTTTAATATAATTTATAAAACCTCTTTAAGAAAATAATAAAAAAAAAAATAATACAAACATGATTATTTATTGTACGTTAGAAGCCGCGATGGCTAAGTGGGTAAGAAAAAAAAAGATGCTGGCTCGCTAGCCTCCGGTGTTGGCCGAGAAAGTTCATCGGGATTTTGTAGATGCGGTTTCCCCTTGCCAGTGGTACAGGACGGAGGGCAGCATCTTGACTTCTTTTACTGGCCAATTGAAATATATGTTATATATTTTACTTTCAAACTATAAGGCAGATTCACAGCCACCCTCCCTTTATATTATCTGTTTAATTATATAATTAAATCGTTAAAGATTCATCTTATAAATGTTTATAATACCAATCTGTGAATATATGTTCTTATACCATTCATTTCTTAACCAACAGAAACGTCCGTTACATAACCAATCCCCAAAATATATGTATTGTCGTCGGAGGTTTGTCATGTATAGAAATAAAATAGGGTTTAACGTCCGACTGTTTTGCCCCGACTGGGCTAATGAAAACGGTATACGCCATACAGTGTATTATGAGGGAAATTTAGTTCAGGCAGCGGCACTACGGCCTACTCATATATCGAATTCCAACTGCCAAGGGATCACTTACGTGCACCCCAATGTGCACGCGGGACTCCTCCAGTCTTTCGTCCCATCCGAACGACTATATGTTATCCCATACCAATCCCTCTGTCCTGCACCACTGACAAGGGGAAACCACGATGGAAAACCATGATGAACTTTCTCGGCCAAAGCAGGGGTCGAACCTGCAGGTTAACGAGCAAAAGTCTGGCTCTGTCATATATAGTATTTCAGAACCAACGACAATAGAAGGAGAGTAAAACAAAAACAGGCCCCCCTTTAAGACCATAAAAGATCATTTTGAAAAATATTTAAAATAAATCTAATTTGATGCCTTCGACCTTGATGCTTGATTCCGAGTGGGAGACTGTAGAGAAAGTTATTTCGACAGTGGCAGTGTAATCTCTTAATGATATATGTCGTGAATTAGGCTCTTTCACTGTTCTGTATAACTATTTCCAGCAGAATATGCATATATGACGTCACCGAGTGTTAACGTGTTAATTCATTTCTATTAACTTGTTGATCTCATTTATACGTTAACCAGTCAATAAGTTAACTGTTCTCAGACCTGCACAACACTGATATAAATGGCAGAAAAACTTCAAATAAATACCGACCTGCCACACCGCGACGCGTTTTTGAAATGTGTCCCATATTGCCTCTGCTGACACAGTTGCCCATAATAGGGGGACTATATTACCACGTTAAGGCTTAAACACCTTATGCCTATTGCAGATCTTTCTTTAGGCCTGAAATGTTATCTAATTTATTAATTCGACATTAATTAACTTAAACAGACCTTAATCAACTCTCGATGGTATCGCTAGCCTGCGATGTTTATTGGATTAGGTTTCGATTTGCTGTTCGACTTCCATTCCTGATTTAATAATAAAATGGATAATCGAGACTATGATTTTTATAATACCGACTTTAGTATTGATGATCGAAGCTAGGCCGAAAATTCAATCGCTAAAATCTCGGTTCAGAGTGGATCAATTGACTGAAATTTTTAGCACAGGAGAAATATGTTCACGTGGTTTTGTTTCAGCTACGATCCGAGCTGCTCGGTTTTGGAGCTTTTGTAGTTTGTTGATTTGTAAAGCAGGTAAATTGAACAGAGTTACAGTAATCCAAGTTCGATAAAACAAAGGCATTAACCAACATTTTAGCAGTGTCGGTGTCAATAAATGGACGTAGTTTTCCAATATTATATAAATGGAAATTTATTTTCTTACATGTCAAGTTAATATGAGTGATGAATTGAAATTTACTGTCAAATAAGACTCCTAAATTCTTTACAGATTCAGTAGGTTTTACTTTATCATCACCGATAGAAATATGATCATATTTTTATGTACTTAAAAACCTTTTGTTTTATTTTTATCTGATACTAGCGGATGCCCGGCACTGCACGGGTTGAAATAAGTATAACCCCGAAATCAGAAGCGGTACCCAACAGGTCTAAGTTACTGCCCTGTCCGAGCGGTGCGCGGAAAAAATGTCACAGGAAAAAAAATCACAGTCAAAAAGTCACAAATTTGCCTAGGTAAAAAATAACACAGGAAAAAAGGTCACAGTTAATTCTAATGTTCCATCCAACTCCATGTATGAATTCTGGGATGGATTTGGCACCGCTGACACGATCTCTGCAAAGATTTCGTAGTTGTGTCTGCATCTTTACAAACTTCTTCTTGACTTTCCTGACAGGTGTATTTCCGATGGCATCCTGGGCGACGACAGTCTGGACTGTGGCTGATTCCTACTGGAACCACTCCACCACTCTCCAGATGGATGGTGTTGGCCGACAAGATTGTAGAACTTGTTTGTATAGTGTTTGCAGCAAGGTAATGTAGAGTAACCACTCTATTAACCAAACCTAGCCTAATTAACTCAAAGACAAATAACTTAAAAGATCCAAGATATACTCCTCTACAATACAATATATATAAGTTGTGACTTTTTTTACCTGTGTTTTTTTACTGTGTTTTTTTTTACTGTGACTTTTTTACCTGTGACTTTTTTTCCTAGATTCGTCCGAGCAACCCCTTTACATCAAATTTCAGTCTGGGGACAGCCCTAATGTAGCCGCCAAACCTGAACAGACAGACAAACGACAGTCACAAATATTTGTATAGATTGGTGCCATTTTTATATGAATTATAATATCTGAAGACAATTATCAATTTGCCTAAGAAGCCAAATTTGTATAACTATATCACAACTAGGTCTTAGAATGAAATACAAGAAATACTGTGTTAGATAATTTTTTTTCAGATATTCAATCCAGTGAGTTTTGGGTTCGGAACTGATTTAAAATAATATTGCAAATTCTCTAACATAGTAGTTATAAAACTTTCCCAGTTTCGTCGGACTAATACACCTCGGGCCAGCGAATATCGGATTCTATAAAATAATACAATTTGATTAAAATACAAATCTTCGTTTGTTTTTATACTGACCATTTCATTGGCTAATCCCTATCATCAACCAGAAAGCGTGGTTATAATCATGTAACAACCATGTATGTTTCGTTACCTGTAAAACTATTGTTATAATCATTTTATTATTTTTTCAGTTTCTTGGTCATACTTTGTGTGACCTGTTTACAGGGATACGGGATTTATAGAGACAAAATACCAAATGGTAGTAGAGTACCTCATCCTTGTAAACCCAACTATATCTGGAATGGCGTTGGCCACCAACAGTCCGCTGGAGATGGAAAAAGAAATCCGTTTGGTAAAGATTTCGCAGATGCTGGACGTGTTAGTATTCGTGGTTCTTTTTTTGTAAAATTTGAAAGTAAATCGTATTTAATAAAATGTTATTTAGTAATGCTTGTTTTCCACTATCACGAAATCGTAGTTTTAGTCGTGGTGATCCTATCAGGGTGTATCATATATTGATATCAGTCGTAGCAATCGTGTTGATCGTATCAAAACGTATATCCGAACATACTAGATCACATGACTCAATGGCAGACCTTAACCAAACGTATTAAATAAATATTACATAACTGTGACAATCTGAAATAAACATCTTAAACAGATTATAGCATGTATCAGAGCCCAACCTAATTTATAGCATTACAATAAAGTTATATTTGGGCAGGGCGATTTACAAAATACCACCCCATGCTAATTAAATACTACGAAATGCTAATTAAATACCACCCAATACTAATTAAATACCATTCAATGCTAATTAAATACTACAAAATGCTAATTAAATACAATGAAATGCTATTTAAATACCACCCAATTCTAATTAAATACCACCAATACTAATTAAATATCACCAAATGCTAATTAAATACTACAAAATACTAATTAAATACTACAAAATGCTAATTAAATACTACCACATACTGCTTCATAATTATGAAAAACTAACATGATACTTGAATTGCATAAAAAAAAATTGAGTTAATAAGTGGAAAACTTGGCAAAAATTGTATGGCAAATGTGATGGTCAATGTTTTCTATTCCAGTTGTCTCCCTTGATCACCTAATACTTACAAGGGTAACCCATACTATCTCAAATCAATCTATTTCTGTAAAATAATTGACCAAAACTACCAAATAATGAGACACAAGTACAATTATTTGAATAACAAAACCTTTGTTTACTGAAAATATATTATTTATTCATTGTTTACCCGTTTCATATTTTGTCCATATCATTTCCCAAATACCTAGAGGGTTGGATGGCCGAATTGTTAGCACGTGCGCGCTGTATCATACGGTCTGTCATTGTCTAAGCTCGTGGGTTTTCTCCAGGTCCTCCGGTTTCCTCCCACTGCTAAAAACCTACGCGCAAGCGAATTATTGAAATAAAATTGAACCATGTGTTAGTCCCGAAATGACCTAGTTTGTGTAGAATGGACGTTAAACCCCATTTATATATATATATATATATATATATATATATATATATATCTCTAAAATACCTAAAACTGCTTTTGAATTAAATAAACATCCATGTTGGTTAAAGGTAAAGTCAGGATTCAACATTTTTTCTCTTAAATAAAAAGAAGAGTCTTTATCTGCAAAACCACTGTCTAGAGCATCGTGTTCGTTTTAGACAAGTCGAAATAATCGATTATTCTTTATCTGGCAATGTACTAGTATTATTTTCTTTTCTTTATTTTTTTAGACATGGACGAAAGAATTATGTGCAAAAGATTCTGATGGTGATGGTAAAACAAATGGTTACGAATTAGGTGATCCAAGCTGTTCTTGGGTTGCAGGCCAGTCATCTCCAGAAAGTACAACACTTTCGCACCCAGGTAACTATAGTCACCCACTCCCTGTGAGTCCCCCTGTTAACTTATTGGTTGTGAGAAACGTAAACGTAATTATGGTAGCCTACCAAATTAGGAACTAAAGTTTTAAACGCTGTACTCGGGAAATGCACAGATTTGTAGTATTCAAAAAATGTCAAGGCGTTTTCGGGTTCTTTTACGAGTACGGGTTCACATCTGTGTGGGTGGGGGGGGGCTCAGCACAAAGGCCCCAACCCCTACAAGAGACCGCCTGCATTGAAATATCCCCGAGCATCCCTACCGACTACCCCCCTCCCAACCTCAATGCGTCCAAACTAATTGTTTATGGGTTTATATTTGTCATATGCTTTAAATAAATTTGAAACATTTGTTATCTGACGGATTGTTAGAAGCAAATAAATTTTATTTATATCATATGCCTTAATTATAGGAGTTTGTGAACCATGGAATGATCCAAAATGCCAAGACCAACTCTCATGGATGTCTGAGGCCTGCAAATCTGACGAATTTATTTGCAATGCATTAAATGATGTTGGTAAGTAAACGACAGTGTACAAACTAATCTATCCGAAGAAAACCTATTATATCTGAACTGATATAATTCATTTATTACAGTATATATGTACAACTTGCTTTTAAAGTTGAGAAACATTTTAATAACATTAAATTGTTATTGTCTAAAACATATTTACTGGGTTGAACAACAGATCGTCAGTAAACCTAATAAAGCATATGAAAATGTACTATTTAAAGGAGCTAAATCTCTAAAATCACCCAATCCTTTATTACATGCACAAATAAATAAATATAATTATTTGCTGTAGATTTCACTTTTACTGAACCTGATTACATTACAGCGTAGTGATACATCATTTTTTAACAGCAATTCAACCATTGCGAAATCCTTTATATTGACAAAGTGCTTCCATCAAGGTTAATTTAATAACAATAGTTCTTTTTTTTAAAAAAAATAAATAAAGTTACTTTTAATAAGAAATGAACTTTTCTTTGAAATTAAAATAAAATAGTTCCTTTTCAACTGACCAATCAAATTCATGTAAAGCGATATCTCCTTAAATATATGATTCACATGCAGTCGTTTCTGTTTTACTGTAAATTCTAATCAGTTATGTTCGGCGAAATACGCCAGAAGTCTCATTTGAATGGCAGTCTCTAACGTCTGGTTATTCCAGTCTACACCGATAGTATTTATTGTGCAAGCTCTCCAGATAAGAATATTGCGTCACTGTTTGACATGACTTGTGGAATATGTCTCGCCTCGTTTTTCGAGTACCTTGTTACAAATGGCACTGAAACACATAATGGTACACGAATCGTGTACCAATGGTAAAATATTTATTTTGTCTCAAATATGGGATATCAGAAGCCCATCCTTTCCCGGTAAGACCACAACATCAATGTTGATTTAAATTGACAAATAATTTGTGTTTTCAATGTCGAAGACTTTGGATGATACTGAGTTAAAGACTTAGCTACTTTAACATACCTTATATAACGCAATTTATGTTTGTCCCTTTTTTCCAAAATTCTAGATCATGCCCTTTATATAATATCGTAATCTATTAACACCAGATTGGACTGTTATGGAGATCTGTTTGGTTCAACTGGTTGCTTATGTTAGATATTCCTGGTCGTTAACACTGTGGACCGCTTAGTCCACGTTGACTATTATAATTATTATTTTTTACAGAATTAAAGAACATGACGTTGAAATTCCCTTCTACACAAGTACCCGTACAAGAAACAACCTATATCTGTATGGAGTTTGAATTAGATAATACCGGAGATTATCACATGGTAGCCACTGAACCTGTTATTGACAATGTCAATGTTATGCACCATGCTGTTATATTTGGTTGTTCAAGCGGTAAGTCATGTTAGATCCTTAGAATGAAACATTTGACTTCAGTGGCAGTATGTTATAGTTAACCCATCATAGAATTTTATCGAGTCACCGTTAATTTATAACGCAGTGCAGCAAAACCAAAGTATGTGTAAAATATAGCAAAATTTGAAGTCGCCAAAAGTAAAATATAGCAAAATTGAAAGACTAACAAGATATTCGCGGGACGAGGCATTTGTATGATTTTCCATGTTCAAGTGGGTTTTGTAACAATATTGTTTCGGGCATGCTCTGATTTTCATTTGCATTTAAATGAAAAAAACACTTGATGATTGCTTAGTGTCGCAAATGTAAAATGTAATTTAGTGGGAAAATGTATATTGTTAAATGGAAAGAGACGCGAATGTTTTCCGATCATTAATTCGTGTATGATTCTTATGCAAGGTTTCCACTCTCGTGTGATGCGTTATGATTGGGTTGTCCCTATTGAGTCCTCGATGTGCTATGTGTAGATACTTTCCGATACGTTTCGATATGATCACCACGATTGCTACGACCTGATATGATCACCACGATTGCTACGACCTGATATGATCACCACGATTAAAACCAGGATTTCAATCGTAGCCTGAATCATGATAGTAGGAACCTAGTATCATTGTTTTATCATCAAACTCACTACTTGTTTCATCAACCTATCCACAACATTAATAGTCTCTCGACTCACGTATCGGATTGTAGAATCTCTTTCAGTCTACGATATTTGAATCTCCCACGAAAACAAAAATATCATTCCAAAATGGTTCAATTCTGTTCACAAAGATGTGATCAATTAAAAAATGCTCAACATTGTACATAAAAGGGATATTGTGAAAAGCCAGTAAACCCTTTTATTTTCGCGATAATCATTTGGTCGGGCTCTTTTGAATCCAAATGGATTGCAGGCCGTTGATATTTTGAATTTAGTTTCTAAATTAAATGTTAAATAATCAGTTTGGGTAAATTTGCGCTTTGAAAAAATGATATTGTACCCAAAATTGCAAATACAAAAATCTTCCCTTGTTCTTACGAACGTGTTTAACTTGAAACAAAGTTAAAGACAATGTGTTCCTTCTTCAGATGAACATGACATTAGATCAACACCTCATGAATGTGGAATGATAGCCAGTATGGAGTGTTCACAGATCTTGAGTATCTGGACACTTGGAAGTCCAGGTGAATGCTTACATGACAAAGTTGGTATTAGAATGGGAACTTACGGAATTAAACGGGTAGCTCTACAGGTCAGTTAATTAAATATTCGTAGTATTTATTTTGTAGACTGTTTGAAGTCCTGGCACTATTGTTATTAGAGTCCGACCAACTCGTGACAGATCGGTAAGGAACCTAGACAAAAGGTTTAATTGCAGAAAATGGATCTACATTGGGTACCTATCAACCCACAAAAAATCTGAAAAAAAATCTGTGGGCCAGTACTGAAGAAAATGGTTGTTGAATATCGTCCTCAATGGAGCCCTGCGTAGTTGATAGATTGTCCTTATCATCTTCGTATCCAGTCTCAATCCTTACTTTCGATTTCGGAAAACGTCCATGTATGTGCACATTTTTGGATAGTTTTTTTGTCGATTTTAGGAAGATTCTTAACTTCTTTCACTACGTACGCATATATCATGATAGGTATGTACTTGGGGCCACATGAAGTCTGAATCGCGAGTGCACCACCGAACGCTAAATAGGCTAGATTTGAGGCAAATATTTGAATTGAATAAAAACTCGTTTCTTAGCAGGCGCGGATCCTTTGTTCGGAGACTAGAAGATTCGTAGGATGTGTCCGAAATTTGTGGAGCATAGTAATATGTTTCCAAACGAATTGACAGTTTTGCATGTTACATGGCTCACAAGACTCGTAAGGGAAAACATGAAACGAAGATTGATGAACAGATAGGGATCAGATACAGATTTCTAGGCAGGAGTCGCAATGACTGATACTTGCAGTTACAGGAGCTCGCTGTGTATATAACAACAACGAACCTTGATGATTTGCGCTGCAAAGTACTCTCAGCGAAGGTTGCCAAAGCGAAGGCTTTCATGGCTCCTGATCGCCTGCCGTTCACCAAAGAATTGCAGATCACTGGTTTCATTAAAATACTTTAGAGATAGACCCACTGGCCTGGGGGTTTTTTTTGGGAGGGGGGGGGGTGGTGACGGTGTGCTCTACGCACACATAGCGGACACTAGCCCGACCCGAGAAAGACATCTCAACATCCCGTCTGCAGCTACTCGTGTAGAAGGAACGACTTTGAGTGTAGTATGTAATGTAAGAACTGCTACTTCGGGCATGGTTCCAACCTTTATGTTGTGAACCCCAAGTGCTCCAGAGAGAGCAGTGCTGACTAGGCTGAGTTACATGTAAAGGTAGCGAGTAGGAATTAGAGCCATCTGCCGTCAACCTGCCCGGAGACTTAACTGCTTCGACAACACGCAACCATTACACCATAATAACATCTTTTGTGCATGCACTGATCAAACGCAACAAAGGCTGGCATTTTTGGAAACGGAAATGTCGATTTCCAAGTACAATACATTTGAGATTAAAAATTAGGTCATTCTTGGAATCGGAAGGATAGATTTCGCTCGGGTTTCAAGATAATTATTTACCATCATATAGGCCCTCCGTTTATGGATTTAATTAGGAGAAAACTGGACGATATAATTTTCGTTAGATTTTCATGTGGTGACATATAAATCAAAGAACGTTTTGTTGTAATTTTGTCCTGGTAACTGGACTAATAATTGGCTTTATTTTTTAATTCGCATTTTAATCATCAATAAAGAATATGCCGTTTGTGCTGCGAGGGGATTTGCCATCGAATTATATTGTTGGTTGAATTTGTATTACTGATAGAAGACATGTCCACGTTGCATACGGAAAATAAGAGAAGGTGATACATGCAAGATGTTAATCATTCTAGACAATTCCACCGATCATTTGATTTCAATTCGAAGGAAAGACCTTGGTCAATGTACTCCAGTGTCACGAGTTAACTATACCCTAGCGGCTAGTCTATATACTTGATTTATTGCATTTTATAGATATTTACTGGCATTTTACAGTCCATTAACAATCAGTTTGAAAATAAGGAAGCTGGGCTGATTCCATGTAATATTCGGCGATTAGATAGCCAATGTATATACTGCTGTTGGTCTTTTGGTTTATCGGGAGTTGGATGGTCGAATGGTTAGCATGTGCGCGCTGTATCATAAGACCTGTCAATGAGTCAACTGGCATAGTTTCAATTCCCCGGTTGTACGTGACAAGGAGTAGGGTCGCCTGTCCAACCTCGTGGGTTTTCTCCGAGTCCTCCGGTTTCCTCCCACTGCTAAAGACCCCTGAGCGCAAGCGAAATATATTGAAATAAAATTAAACCATATAATAGTCCCAAAATGACCTAGCTTGTAATAACAATTCATGTAATAACAATTCATGTAATAACAATTCATATTCTAAAAACAATTTGTTTAGTTTCACTGGAACAATCCTACCTTGAAAACAGATTACGTCGATTCATCTGGAATGATTGTACATTATACAAGTAATAAACGAGAAAATGATGCTGGTGTATGGACTATTGGTTCCGAGTTCTTTGTTGTTCCACCACGAACCCTGAATACACAAGTAACTCTTTCCTGTCCTAGTAGTTGTACAGACTCCATGCTTACTGATAAAATTTATATCGTCTCTGCATTCAACCACATGCATTATATAGGTGAGTAAGATTTTCGAGTGAAAGTGTAATATTTCTAATTTATTTGGAATAATAACAAATGTAGTTTCCGACTGACAATTAAAAGTCCCAATTTACGTGAACAAATTAGACAATCTCCGTGACTAAAGAAATAGTTGACCACAGATCACTAATGATTTCCCCATTGACTTTAATATTAATTCAACACTGTTAGACCGGTTCTAACTTTTCCCCAAATTTTCATTGGGTTGAACGCTTTCTACCACAGATGGAGCAACGTGGAGCAACCGATTTTCCAAAAGCACGTATGGGGTTCACCATGGAAAACTTGAGATACACAAGCTGGAAGTAGAGACAAGTAAACTTGCAATTTTCGCCCCTACATTTCAACCTAACCAACCTCTCAACTCTTGTATCATTCCGCCTCAAAATCATGAATATTTACCAAAACCTGGCAGAAAATGTATTTTCAAACCATTTTCTTTGATTCTACACCAAAAGGCAACACAAATCTCCATGCAATAGGGGAAAAAGAAAGGGAAAGAAAGACTGTGACGGCGGAAAAAATATTTGGTGAGCTGTGTCCAGTTGAATTACAAAGTCAAGAGTAGCGCCCCCCCCCCCCGCCACACACAACATCGTTTTGTTTAGTGACATTTATATTCCCAACGATCACGAAGTAAGTAGGAATAGAATACTAGTAAATGCTAATAAAATATCTGTTGAGTCGCCTAACTGTTGGGCGTCTAAATTAGATGAATATTATAGTTTTGATGATCCAGGCATGTCAATCAGTCGGTAAACGATCAGTAGTCTGGTTGACCTCTACTGATTTCAACCCAAGTGCAGGTAACCAACTGTGCATAAAAATGCCAGTATATGGTGTCCGGTTTTCGTATATGATTGCAACATGGCGGGTTATTTTGTGGTGATAAATGAGGGAAAATCAGGACTACATATATATAATATTAATTAATAATGAATGTTAGTTATCTAACTGCATGAAAAGAGCCAATTCTGTCTATTTCAGTTCTATCTTTGGGCCTTAAATGTTATATAAGTTATTAATTAGACATGCATTAAGATGACAAGACAATAATCAATTCTCGGCGCCATCAGATGCCTCTGATTTTAAGTAAATTAGAACGGTTCGGCCATTTAATAATTTAAAAATTGTGGAGCTATGCTATGACTCGAATGACCAGTACGGTAGTAACGATCAATGATTGTGGAGCTATGCTATGACTCGAATGACCAGTACGGTAGTAACGATCAATGATTGTGGAGCTATGCTATGACTCGAATGACCAGTACGGTAGTAACGATCAATGCACACATCTTGTGGAGCTATGCTATGACTCGAATGACCAATACGGTAGTAACGATCAATGCACACATCTTGTGGAGCTATGCTATGACTCGAATGACCAATACGGTAGTAACGATCAATGCACACATCTTGTGGAGCTATGCTATGACTCGAATGACCAATACGGTAGTAACGATCAATGCACACATCTTGTGGAGCTATGCTATGACTCGAATGACCAATACGGTAGTAACGATCAATGCACACATCTTGTCAGTCAAAACCACAACCATTAATAACTTGGCTCAAATAAAGTAATTTGAATGGGATTTTCAATATATTCATTGTGCATTATCTATTTTAGAAATATTATAGCGCGAAGGGCAGGCTCTTTTTCTAAATCTTACATAATGTCCTTTTAAATTAATTTACATTATTTTCAGGTGCCGAACAAAAGATAGAGCTTTTTCGTAACGGAACTAAAGTAATAGACATTACTAACGATGAGAAATATAACTATGACAGTCCTGTTGTTCATGAGTAAGTATCCAGGCATAAGGAGTTTCTTGCTTTCAAACAGTTTCTCATGTCATTTGAGACAGAAATATGTATATTTAGTTATCTTATACATGTGACACGTGACAAATGTTTTGCCCGGACTGTGTTTTTCACCTACTTTTAATGGAAATCCAACTGCCAAGGATCTATCAAATGCGTGACTATTTTTACAACCGAACCTCATTTCTTCAACCCACATTGAACAAAACGTTGCGCTTGGCATACGGTCCGGGACATACTACTTGTGAATCCACTTACCTGGAATTATGAATGATTTTTTTTTTTTACCTAACTAGTAATAAAGCACGCAATAATGGGTTTCCAATATTCTATTTTATTCAGATTTACAACACCCATTGAAGTTCAGCCTGGTGATGTTCTTACTACTACGTGTGGTTTTAACTCCATGGATAGAGATGCTGTCACTAACTGGGGAGACGCAACAAGTTCTGAAATGTGTTATGGGTTCATGACCTATTATCCCAAGGAAAACGTTAACAATTTATTCTGTAATGGCTTTAGAAGTATTCCATATTGCGCAATTGAGGATGGCAAATTTTTCGACGGTTGTGAGTTATCGAAATATTCCAAAGAAAGCCCGGAAAAAGATCAATTTGAAATGGACCTGAATAATACATGTTTTGACTCATGTACAGCAGAATGTTTCCGTTTAGTTGATAACAACCCTTGTATGAAAGGCGACCCCAGAGCATATATTGACTTTTACTATAGTTATTCAGATAGAAACATAGAAATCAAACGAATGTATTCTCAATGCGATTTGACCCCCACTACACCCAATACAGCTGATGATACGTCCAATACCAATGATGATACAGCTACGTCCAATACAACTGATGACTCGTCCAATGCCATGACCTTTAATTCGTCCGTATTGAAGATATTGTCATTTGTGTTGACAGCATCGTTAATTAGATGTTAGCTTTGCGGTACCCCAACCATTTATGCTATTGAGATAAAAATGATATAATTCATACATTTTATTACATATCTTTTTCTAACTGTTGATAATTTTGTATTTTTATTTTAAATTCCCGATATTGCTTTTTTTTTATTATAAATTCTATTCAATATTCGTCTTACTCTTATTAATCTGACATGGTTGATTAATTTCTTTTTCCTGGAATTAAATAGACATTAAAATATTACCTTTTGTATTATTGTTATTGGATTATAATTCATATCACCTGGTCAGTTGATTATTTTATGTTTCGAGTGTTGTTCGGAGGGTATGGTATAACTATTCCGAAATAGACTGATAGAGCTTACCTTGCTCACATAGTGTACAGTGACGATGTTCTAGGGAAGTGTTCGTCCAGCGCAGTAGACTGCGTCTAATGCACTGAGAGTGTGATCTGGGAAATGCATCTACAACAGATTCCAGTTGACACCTGGTCTGTTTTATAAGCCGTATGCAAAGCCCAGCTTAGGCGTGGGCCTGAGGGCTCCAGGCCCAGGGCCCTGTGGTTTAGAGGGCCCCGCAGTTCAGGAAAATTTTTTGTTGTTTTACAAAAAGAAAAGAAATAAATGGTTAGCGATGAATAGCTATGGTAAATAAATGGTAAATAAATAAAAACAACTCTTCAATTCAAAATAAAAAACATAGTAACCAATCCCAAATATGGTGTTTCTATCTTACCTGACATGAGTCGTCGTTGCAACTTACAATTCGTGAAGGATTATCATCGTCCATCAATCTAGCCAGATGTTGCATTCAACTTACCTACCAACGGATCTGGCTATTGTGGGTGCCTAAACTACGATATTTTTAAAACACAAGTGAATCGAAAACCTCAATACCCATACCTCAATGTACCTGGCGTTCATGAATTTTTGTCCACCGCCTTTCGCAGAAAACCGGAGATTATAAAAATCAGTCTATCAGTCACACTTTTTGGGACACGATACCTCTGCTTCTAATTGAGCTGGAATATTCAAACTTGATGTAGATGTTTATTATGTGAATAACCTGGTGGAGTTCGAAGATGAGCATTTCCTGCTCAAGGTAAGCTGAGATAAGCAATTTGGTTGGTTAATGCTTTGGGACACGATAACTTTAGTTATAACTAAGTAAGAGTGGTAGTTTCATTACGTCAATACCTTGACTAAGTTCGATAATGAGCATATTCTGCTTAGGTTAAGGAGTGATAAGCAATTTGATTGGTCGAGACTTTGGAAAGTAACAGCTATGCATTTGATTGAGGTAGAATGTTTAAAGGGGCTAAGTCGCTAATATTTTGGACCTAGAAATTGACACAAAAGGGTTGCTACCAGCTAAAAATTTAATATGAATAGATATAAACTGATTTACATTCGATCGTTTCCGTTTTTACTGTAATTTTCAATCAATTATGTTCGGCGAATTACGCCAGAAGTCTTAATCGAATGGCAATCTCTAGCGTCTGGTTATTTCAGTCTAAACCGATAGTATTTATTGATAAGAATATGCCGTCACCGTTTGATATGACTAGTGGAATATGCCTAGCCCTTGTTCAAGTGCCTTATTACAAATGGCACTGAAACACATTATGGTACACGATTCGTGTACTAATTTTAAAATGTTTATTTTGTCTTAAATATTGGATATCAGAAACCCGTCTTTTTCCGGTAAGATCACAACATTAATGTTGTTTTAAATTGACAAATCATTCGTTTTATCAATGTCGGAGTTTTTGAGTGATATTGCGTTAGAGACTTTAACTACTTTAAACTTGAAGTAGATGTTCATTGTTTTAGTGACCAGAAAACAAATTTTGATATGCGTCGGCTTACCCAAAATGAAAGGTTACGTGCCCTTGGCATGCTACAGATCGGCACAACACAGGCGGTTGTGGCGCGGACGATGAATGTTTCTCAGTCTGTCATAAGCAGGCTATGGTCCAGATACCGTGATACACAATCTGTACAGGACAGACCACGCTCAGGTCGACCAAGGGCGACAACTCAAGCCCAGGATCGATTTATCCGTACCTTGGCCTTGAGAAATCGTGTCATCACAGCAAATCAGATCAGCGCTCGTCTTCAAACAGACACTGGTGTGAGAGTGAGTGGCCAGACGATTCGGAATCGACTGCATAGGGGTCACCTTCGCGCCCGACGTCCTCGCGTGATCCCTTGTTTGAGAGATCATCACATTCAGGCAAGACGTCGTTGGTGTAGGGATCGTCAACACTGGGATAATCGACGCTGGAGCAATGTGATGTTTTCAGATGAGTCAAGGTTCACTGTTGATTTTTTGGACAGACGTAGGAGGGTGTGGCGTCGTCGAAACGAGCGCTTCCAAGACGTTAACGTCATCAGACATGATCGATTTGGGGGTGGTTCTGTTATGGTGTGGGGAGGCATCACTGTTGCTGGAAGAACGGCTTTACATGTTGTTGCAGGGCGTGTTACAGGCCAGTACTACCGGGACAACATCTTGGCAGTCCATGTTGTGCCGTTCGCACGACGTCATGGCCGCCGTTTCATCTTCCAGGATGACAACGCAAGATGTCACAGGGCCAGGATCGTTACAGGTTACCTCCAACAACAGAACATCACCACATTACCTTGGCCAGCACTGAGTCCCGACCTCTCCCCATCGAGCATGTCTGGGACATGCTTGGACAGAGGTTACGTCAACGTCAACAACGTCCTGCCAATGTCCAAGAACTTGCTGCTGCGTTGCAACAGGAATGGGACAATCTGGACCAAAATGACCTTAGACGTCTCATTAGGAGTATGCCACGTCGGATCAATGCTTGTTTGGCAAACAGAGGAGGATTTACCCGTTACTGACTTGGTTGTGATGCTGTGGTAACTTTGCTGTTTGACCCCGGGTATCATTTTACCCTTATAATGGTCAGTCTGTGCCTTACTTAGTCTAACGATCATTTGGAATAAATCGATGAATGTGAACTTCATTTCATTTTGTCATTTGTTTCTTCGTCAGTTTCATTAGGTGACTTTAATAACACTTAAAAATCAAATATCCCCTACTTTTTTTGAATAGTATATTACAATCCGACCATTGTTGAAAACATTACGGCAAAATTTCGAAAAACGACAACTTCGGTGATTTCGGACATTTCGCATTGACGCAGAACGTTAGAAATAGCTTTAAAATTTAAGTCAAACCCACTATCGGACGAGTAGTTTCTGAGATATGCTCAAATGGAAAAATAATAATACGAAGAAGAAGAATAATAATCCGAACAAAAACAATAGTGTTTCACACAAGCTACGCAGTGTGAAACCCTAATAAGACTCATTTGAATAAAATATATGTTTTAAGGCTAAAAATATAGTTTTTGTCCAAAAGACGTTATTTCCAGTAACACTGTAAATTTGTTTGACCTAGTCATAATGGGCATTAGGCATCAAATGAAATGATAAAAAAAAAATTGAAAATCGAATGATAATTGACTCATACAAAATTGCCTATTTCTCGGTTATTCCAGTGCATGCTCTCCAGATAAGAATTGTCATTTTGGTCGCCATTTTCATGGATATAATCTGGTACTACAATTTTTGGATGTAGCACCCCTAAAAACACATACAATGACATTAGTAAACACAAAGCTTGTGAAAACTTGAAAATTTGTCATTTTGGCGTCCATTTTGATAAAAGATGGCGGAAATTGTTGGATTAAATTTTTACTACAATTTTCGTCTTCAGCACCCCTGAAAACCTTTAGAAAACAATATTCAACGACAAAACAGCAAATAAATGGCCTGGTTGCTATGGGATTTTGTTTTGAAACATACCAAATCTTTGACTTGATTTTTGAAATTTTCTCTAAACTTACTTTGAGTTGGGTGGCTTCAAACGGACACAGCTCAGTCAGATTTTGCCCGATTCAAATTGAAGGTATTGAGCTGGAGAATGTGAAAATAACAATAACTCAATTTTAAAAAATTCCTCATTGCGACTCATTATGCCGTGATGGGTCCACATATATTGTATAAATGCATATATATAATACTAATAGTTGTGGATGGTGATAATGGTTATAATATTCAAATACCTAGGTTTATTTACAAGAACGTGTAACCAATATTATATCACAGAAATTAAATTTTTTGTGCCACCTTTTCGGGCGTGGGATTTTGCTTTTGGTTTTGAGTCAAGACAACATTATAACGGTTTGTATTTATTTCATGTTAACATTTTTCAATGAATTATAATTGTGCCAGCGAAATCTTTCCTTTTTAAAAGTTATCAAGTGCTACATATGACGTTTATATCTAAATTCACATATCTTTATACAAAATGGAGCCGAAAATTGAAAGTTGACAGCAATTTAGGAAGACAAGCTCTAGTACTATGCACATCCAAAGTTAGAAGGGCCAATTAGGGATCTTCAGTGGCTATACATTTCAAATAATATTACAGTGGCCAGCATAAAATGCTTTGATTGATTAACATATTTACCGTAGTCTGGATTTTTGATTATAGTTATGCTATCAAACAATTTTACAAGGTTTTACATGATGTGCTTTAGAAAACAGGTTTGTCTCAAGCTTAAGTGTGCTATCTCTTTCAATTTATGTGGAATGATGTAAGGTATGTAAAAGGCACATATAAAAGTGGTGGAAGGTTTATGAATATACAATATACTTATATGTACAGAATATTTAAGTATTAACAAATTTAGCTGGAAGTATATATGTTCGTACATATATGATTACATTTACTTGAAATATGCTCTTTGAAATTGTAATGATTAAATTTATTTTAGATATTTAAAAGGTCCTTCAAATAAAAAAGCTGTCTGCTACTATACAATTTTACTCATTAAATGCACTTGCTGTAATCAAGGAAAGAAAGAGGGATAGTGATCATGAAGACAATTGTATTTTAGTATACTTCCAGTTTATAAACAATTGGAGTTTATACAATTCCTAACATTATTACATAAGAATATATAGGTTGAGCTATGTTATATTATACAATGATATAATAATTTTTTTGTATTCAGTAACTAGTCTATAATCCTCATAAGATAACAAGGAAATGAGGTAAAAGGGTGGAACACATCAGCTGTAGAGTTTAGTGTTTGTGGACACAGCGACAGGCATTATTATAACAGTATCTGCACATCTATCATAGCTGTCATGGGTTTTACATGTACTTCAAACAAGCGAGTAGATGACAAAGAATATGGTAGCCAATTATGAACATCGAAGTGTGCACAGCAGTTGAACTGTTAGTTTGCTTTTAAGTTTATTGACTGTGGGGGTAGACATCTGCATGCGTAGTATAATTGTGAGACACACATTCGGGTTATTCTCGTATATTTAACAGATTACGACCATACGTTGAACCAACATTCAGAATTTGGCTTTGCACATGTTTTTAAAGATTTCTTCAGCCAGATAAATACTTTATAAGTTGATCATTTACATCAGGGTATAATTCAACATGGCAAGTTTTGCCACTATGGCCCTCTGCTCGAACCTTACCATTTCGAAAAACCACGCTGATTTCACATGGGGGTGTTTTTGTACAGCTGATTGTAGTTTCACATTGACTTGTGTCATGTCTTCTGATATAGATATGCCAGTTTGTTTCCTATTTGATTGTACTAATTGTCTTTCATCGCGTCTCATAAAACGCAAAATGATGCGTCTATGATGTGTTGGTATTGGATGGACTTGTCCGACAACAGCCTGGTTTGGTTAAGATTTGGGTCCGACTCTATGCGCGGCATCTATCAATATCAACTTATCAATCTTTAATCTGTCCTTAATTATTTTGTGGAATAGCTCGAGACAGTTCTATAATCGTTCATGGAAGCTATCAACATCACTGCCTACGTTTACAGGGGTGTGTCTATGACTAGTCTGTGTCTACGGTTGTATGCCGTCTATGACTTGCCATGTTTTTATTGTGCAAAATTCAAATATTTTTCATATATATTTAGCCAGGTGTGCCACTATTTTTTTCATGTGTTCCAATGTGTGCCGTTGGCGAAAAAAGGTTGAGAAGAATTGCTTTAGGCAGAGCGCTGATGAAAACCACTTTCTCCAGCCGCTATCTTGAATTGTGATCACCATTTCTCATCCAGCAATACAGTCCACCGCTGATAGTTCGAGACTACCACTGAAGCGTGCACATTAGCCGTGTCGAGACCAACTTTCTGACAGTATAATACTATAAATAGCCATGGCACTTGCAATTCTCTACAAATCTATTAACTATTACAGCCGTCAAAAATTTATTGTAGACGATTTTGAATAGCAGTAAAATTAAGCTTCTTGGTTATTACAGCAGATTTAGAAATTACGTTCGTTTTATTTTTTAAATTGCTTTATCATTAACTGTACCGTTAAGAGCGGCATCTTTTGGTTTAGTACAAATAATATCTCTGAATCACTTTCGTTAGCAGGAACATGATACTAGCAGTAGTTTCATTTTACTTTTACAAGCTTCTTAAAACAATTGTTGAGCTGGCTAACGTGCGTTTTTCTAAATTCAATTTCTTGTTCCAGCTTTCTGTTATGTTTCGTAAAAAGGTAGTCTTGATTATCCCGACCTGTCAATCAGACGTAGAATGGTCGGTACACTGGTTAAGCGAGACGAATTTCAAAACAAGGGCACGTAACCTATCTTTTACTCAAAAGTGTCTGGATGTTATGGACGAAACTTGGAACCAGTTTCAGCCTATTATTTATAGATCATTAAATGGTCATAGCTTATTAAGTACAGCATGATCGTTTATTTAGTGACTATAATTGTGTGAAGCTGATTTAAGGCTTGGTATATATATATAAATATTGTGGCGTAATTGTCGAGATATTTGGAGATATTTATTTATGGTGGGTCACCCTACCAGCAATCGAGGTCCACTGCATGACAATATTCTTCATGTTCGGAGGGGCTCTTCTGGGGTGAGCTTAGTGTTGCCCGTCCACTTGTTGTGATGCAAGTTGATGCTTTGAATGGGGTGGAGAAGTTGCAGCTAGGGAAAGCCGTCCGACTGAAGGGAATCAGTTTTAAGCTGATTTCTGGTCACTTATTGCCGGATGTTACTATTACAATTGGAAGTTCTTCTTTCATATTAAATGTTGGTGTTGCTCCAATTTTTAACAAAGTGATTCTTGACTTGGACGTCTTAGAAAAGTATAACTGTGTGGTCAGTCTAAGAAATTGTGTCGTTTCGGTCAGAGAGGAGGTTCTAACTGCTTCCTTGTGTAGTGCATATGAAGAAAATTACTGGTCTTGATCCTAACATGATGAAATTGTAGGTTGGAGTAATCTCCCTTGGAGAGAATGTTTCTGGCTCCATTATTTGAAAAACACATATTTTGACTTTGTTTTACTGTCTCAGTATGTGTTGTTATTACAACACATTATTATTAAACTATGATAAGATATGATTAGAGCTGCATGGTGTAAGTGTCCAATATATATATATATATATATATATATAATTATATGTTTAACAATTTAAATCAGATAGAAAGCATTTTAAAGAAAGTAATCGTAAATCAATTTGTACTTCACAAGTTGGTTATCTCAAGTTGGTCATGTCATCTGGTCTTGCGACAAGGAATACTGTTAAATTATTGTAGCGGGGATTAATTTGCTACTTTTCAGGTTGTCCGTTTGGTTGTTTGGTCTTGTTATTTAATTAATGGGATTTCGAGTTTTATTTTTCATAGTTAAAAAAGTCAAAAAAGATGTTATGGGTTGTGGTGTATATACGTTTCTATTGTAGTTATACTTTTGAAGTTTTGGTCTTGGTTTTATGGGAACTAGGATTTGATTCTTATGTTTGGTGGAATTTGTTCTTTGTGTCCTTAGTCTAAAATATTGAGGAGTTACTTTTGTTCTAGAAGGTTTTGTTGTACATTTCACTTGGAGGTTGTTTATCAGGTGATATGATTTGCTGTATTCTGATTGGTTATTTGGGTGGCGCATTTTATTAAAAGATATGAATTAGTATTTTCTCTCACTCTTCTTTTTCTACTTGGATGACTGGTTCCTGAGATTCATACAGCTCATTTCCACAAACTGGTAAGACACATTTACATTACATATAATTTAAAACACATGAATGCTTGATATGTGACTTTATTTTGTGAAATAAAGTGTGTAGAATGAATGATTCTATATTATGATTTTATGAAATAATTCATAGACTTTATCCAAAGATGTAAGTCAATCATTCGGTTTACTGTGATATGATTAAGATTGTATAACATTGACTTGTATCATTAGTTTAGTATGGAATGTATTTTTGTTCTTTCAGGGCATGTTGTTATTATAATTCATGAGGTTTTTTGACGTTCTTCATATATGCTCTGGTGCTTCATCTCTAAACTGTAACCGCGTTCGCGGTAGTAGGGTGCTGTATTCTCTTTAACTATTTTAGTAGGGTGTTATATTCTGTTTAAAGATTTTAGTCAGTTTCCATTGTCCTGTTTATCCAGCTAGCCTTGTATTTCCAGTAGTTATAATTACTTTAGTTTAGTTTAAAGATGATATTGTAAGATAGTGAGTAGATTTAAGTGTCTTAGAAACCTGCTTTGTTTATCCTAGTTACTAACTCCACTCTTTTATTTTCTGGTCAACTATCAACATCTCTATTTAATTACAGCACAATTAATCATTTATTTCAAGGTACTGCTGAAATGCAGTAGGGTAGTGTAAAAAATGCAGTAGAAACCATGATTTGGCAGATTCCCAAAAAAGCGTAAATTTGCACTTCCAAGGGTAATTAATTTAGAAATGATACGCTGAACTGCAGGTCCAACAATTAACAATACAAAAATTGCATTAAATGGGTAATTAGATAAAATGTACACAAACAATGGTAACCATATCTTATCTAAAATTATTTATCATTAGGCCTATGTAATTAAACCAAAATTGAATATGTAGCCTATAGAAAGAAATAATTAGTAACTACTGGCAGTAGGCCTACCACTGCCACTTCTCTTTTGTTTTAACTTAGCTGTCTGTGTTAGTGTTAGCATGATTTTAAAAATATCTTGATTCCTTGTGACGTACGTGCGACGTACCACTGCCACTGTAAATTGGTCGCTATTTGTTTAGTTTATCGCTACGCATTTTAAGAGTATTTGGAACACGTGCCAATAATTATATCCGCTTTATTAACTCTAAAATAGGTTGAAAAGAATTTGAGAAAAAATCTTAGCTAAATTACACCTTACAATATCCCAAATCGATGTTAATAACCGAAAGTCGCAATCATTATTGTTTACATGCAAAGAGTTGCTTCCCTTAGTTCCATAGTTTTGGCGAGAAAATTAAAAAACTCTTTGTTTGAAAATGCGGTAGATATCTCTTACCGGGCAGTAGAGCGGTACATGAGGCCTTTTCGCGGCACTTTACTGCGTGATGCGGTAGAGTTGACAGGTCTGCTGGTTATCATTGCTGATAGATTCACCTATGCTTTGTTTTTTCCCCACAGTTCTTGGAAAATATGGGCATGTCTTGTACATGTGTGGTTAATATATCCATATTTTGAGCCCTACAACATAAAGAACAGGTGAAGTTCTGATTGCTTGATGACTATGCTGATGATACATCGGTCAGGTATGTAAATGTTCTTAATTTTTTTATGATCAGGCTAAAGTTCAAGAAGCTACAGGGTTTTTTATATGCCCACATTTTCATGTGGAAGTATATTGTCGTCGCCCCTGTCTGTCCATCCGTCCACAATTGTTTGTGGACACTCTACATGTCACAATTTTTATTCTATTTCAACGAAACTTGAATTATAGGTTTATCTCGCTAAGATGTCGGTTCCTTTCGATATTGGCATGTATCGAACCGTAACTCCATGGATTCTGGCCCCTGATTGTATGAAAAATCACGTTTTTAGCTTGAGCTCCCTCTAGAGGTCACAATTATTATCTGATTTAAAAAAAAAGTTAAAAAATATCACCGTTACATCGTAATTCTGGCTCAGTTTGAATTTCGTGAAAATCGGACTAAAACTGACGGACAAAATGGACGCCCCTCGTACGCAAATAGTGTGTAACATCTGATATTTCAAAGTTGTTGACCGTCTAGAGGTCACAATTTTGATCCGATTTTGATGAAACTTGAAATACATGTTTATAACCCAAAGAAATTGGTTCCTTTTGATATTCATTTGAAAATCGAAATGAAACCACTAGACAAAATGGGCGCTCTTTGTACGCAAATTGTGTAAAAGTAGAATATGCAAAGGTTGTCGAAGGTTATGGCCCCTGATTGTACGGAAAATACCTTTTTAGCTTGTAGTCTCTGTAGAGGTCACAATTTTGTCTGATTTAAAAAAAAAAAAAAAAGATGTGTGAATATATCACCATTACACGCTAAAATCTTGGATCCGTTTGATAATCACGGATACCCAAACTTAACTTCCTGGATTATGGCTCCTGATTGTTCGAAAAATCGCATTTTTAGCTTGCAGATTTTCTAGAGGTCACAATTTTTTTCCGATTTTAAAAACCGTTTAAATATTTCACCATTTCACCATAATGAAGGTTGAATTTGAATTTCGGGAAAATTGAAATGAAACTGCCCAACAAAATGGCTGCTCTTTGTACGCAAATTGTGTAAAAGTATATCGTCTACCCTTTAGCGGTCACAATTTTTATCCGATTCTGATGCAACTTAAAACATATCTTTATATCCCAAAGATCTTCTCAGTCCCTTTTGATATTTGCGCATTTCAGACCATAACTTTCTGGATTATTGCCCCTGATTGTACAAAAAATCCTGTTTGTTTTTAGCTTGTTCTCTATCCATCTCTTGCAAACTGTGGGCGTAGCCTGCCTGGCAGCTGGTGGTCATCAATTGATATAGAAAACCATTTATATCTTATTTCCAAAACCGTTCAAATGTGTCGGCATTACATCATAATTATGAATTTCCTGAAAATCGGACTGAAACTTTCAGTCAAATGGCAACTCTCCATACAATACCAAGGTTATGGACCATTTAGAGATCAGAAGTTTTATCCGATACTTAAAACGAGTATCACTAGCTCTTGTATAAGTTCAATTTTTGTGCCCATTTCAATATCCCCTACTTTTTTTTGAAGAGTATATATTATTGGCATACTTATTCAACAAGGACGTTACTCAAATATCTTATTTTTAAAGATAGGGCATAAATGGTCTAACAATTAATTTTATTTGCACAAACCAGTGAGGTGTTACATAGAAATAGAATTTTTTAATACAACTGTCTTAGTGCTAGGTTCCAACTATCACGATTCGCGCCAGGAAAACGAGTCTGTGTTCGTCAAATTTTACAAATTATCTTGGGGGGGCTGTTCGCAAACAACCGGCAGTACCATTTGTAACCAGAAATATTTTGGGGGGCATTTCAGGTTCTGTTCCGCTTACATTCATCGAGCCCGTATGCTTTTGCTCACAACTGGGGGTCTCTTAACCTAGGGATCAGCATAGAGCATAATAGGGTTTTCATCTGAAGTTCTACATACTAAAAGTCTCATGTTAAAATCAGACCTGTTGTATCTAACAGTATAATTACTTGCGTTCAATAACTCGGAGAAAAGAATGATTGCGGCCAAATTAGCTTGCGGACACTCAAGGGGTCAATCTTTATCGGATTTTGATGGAACTTGGAATTCGTGTTTATAACCCAAAGATCTTGGTGCCCTTGAATATTTGCATATATCGGATCGTAACTTCCTGAATTATGGCCCTTGATGGTACGAAAAATCGTGTTTTTAGCTTGTGGTCAATCTTGAGGGCACAATTTTTATCCGATTTCAAAAAACGTTTGAATGTATCACCGTTACACCCTAATGATGGTTGACTTCGAATTTTGTGAAAATCGGACCAAAACTGTCAGAAAAAATAGCCGCCGCCCCCCCCCCCTCATGTGCAAATGTTGTAAACATTTGGTATATCAAGGTTATGGACCTCTAAAGGTCACAATTACACCCTAATGATGGTTGTTGACTTCTAATGGCCACCCCCCTCGTATGCAAATAGTGTAAATATATGGTATATCAAGGTTGTGGACCCTCTAGTGGCTGCAATTTTGATCCGATTGTGAAATACATGTTTATAACCCAAGGATCTTGGTTCCTCTTGATATTTGCGCATATTTCCTGAATTATGACCCTTGATTATACGAAAAATCACGTTTTTAGCTTGTGGTCTCTCTAGGGGCCACAATTTTTATCCGATTAAAAGTTTGAATATATCATTGTTACACCCTAGTGATGGTTGAGTTCGAATTTTGTGAAAATCAGGCCAAAACTGCTGGACAAAATGGTTGCCCCTTGTACGCAGATAGTGTAAATTATATGGTATATTAAGATTTTGGAGCTTCTAGAGGCCACAATTTTGATCCGATGTTGATGAAACTTTAAATTTATATTGATATCAGAATGATTTGGTTCCATTCGGTAATTGCATATACCGATTTAAAAAAAAACGATTGAATATATTACCTTTACACACTAATGTAATGGTTGAGTTCGAATCACATAAAAATTGAACCAAAACTGCCGGACATAATGATCGCACCTCGTACACAAATAGTATAAATATATGGTATATCAAGGTTGTGGACCCTCTAGTGGCTGCAATTTTGATCCGATTGTGAAATACATGTTTATAACCCAAGGATCTTGGTTCCTCTTGATATTTGCGCATATCGGATCGTAACTTCCTGAATTATGACCCTTGATTATACGAAAAATCACGTTTTAAGCTTGTGGTCTCTCTAGGAGCCACAATTTTTTATCCGATTTAAAGTTTGAATATATCTTTGTTACACCCTAGTGATGGTTGAGTTCGAATTTTGTGAAAATCAGGCCAAAACTGCTGGACAAAATGGTTGCCCCTTGTACGCAGATAGTGTAAATTATATGGTATATTAAGATTTTGGAGCCTCTAGAGGCCACAATTTTGATCCGATGTTGATGAAACTTTAAATTTATATTGATATCAGAATGATTTGGTTCCATTCGGTAATTGCATATACCGATTTAAAAAAAACCGATTGAATATATTAACTTTACACCCTAATGTAATGGTTGAGTTCGAATCACATAAAAATTGAACCAAAATTGCCGGACATAATGATCGCACCTCGTACACAAATAGTATAAATATATGGTATATCAAGGTTGTGGACCCTCTATAAGTCACAATTTTATCCGATTTTGGTGAAACTTGAAATATATCGTTATAACCCAAAGATCTTGGTTCCTTTCGATATTCGTGCATGTCGGATTGTAACTTCCTGAATTTTTAGCTGGTGGTCAAAATTTTTATCCCATTTCGATGAAACTTAAATTATATCTTTATATCCCAAATGTCGCAGATCCTCTCAATATTCGCGCATTTCAGACCATAGCTTCCTGAATTATGGGCCCTAATTGTACGAAAAATCGCTTTCTCTATCCATCTCTTGCAAAATGTGGGCGTATCTTGCTTGGCAACTTCTGGTTCTCTTTTCTAATTCAGTTATAAACTGCCACATTTTGACTTCATTTTTCCACTGCTCACATATGCATTATTCTTATGCAATGCTGGAGGATTCTTTAAACTATTAGAGGCCATACTAGGCTTTGGTGAAGACTATTGTTACTACTAAGATTATTAGTATTTATACTACTACTACATGGTATAAAAACTACTGTTTTTGTTCAGATTATTAGTTTCACCTAGTATAAAAACTATTATTTTTGTTCGGATTATTAGTTTTACGTAGTATAAAGATAGGTTGCCAGGCAACGAAACATACGCCCACAGCAGCTAAATCGTCCGGGCAGTAAACAAGAGTTGTCACATATGTTTATATCAAGATTCATTGAAAATCAATATACTTGTTTGTCTCAAGACTTTAAACTGTGTATCAATCTGAAGTCAATCGGATAACTTTAGCCTCTAGAGCGTCACAAGATTTTTCAAAGTGATCAAGGGCCATAACTCTGGCAGTAATTATCGGAAATCGTTGAAAATCAATGATTCTTCGTCTCATGACCTCAAACACTGTGTATCAATTTAAAGTCAATTGGATATTAACTTTAGCCTACAGAGCATTTACAAGATTTTTTGAAGTGATCAAGGGCCATAACTCTGGCAGTCATCATCAACTTTGACCTCTAGAGCACCCACCCATTTTGAAGTGATAAAGGGCCATAACTCTGGCAGTAATTATCGGAAATCACTGAACATCAATAGGCTTGTTCGTCTCATGACCTTAAACACTGTGTATAAATTTAAAGTCAATCGGATATTAACTTCAGCCTCTAGAGCATCCACAAGCAATTTCAATGTGGGCGTATAAAAACTATTGTTTTTGTTCAGATTATTATTTTTTTTCTCATGTGTTTGGAAAAAGTACATGTTCTACAAAATAAAACTCTATACCATCCGAAAGGTATTTAGTTCAAAAGGTGAATAACTAAAACTTTGAAAATGATAACAGGAAGTGATGTCATCAACGAAAATAGACCTATATTAGACATCAGAGAGAATTTTTTCGTTTTTCAACCAATTTGGATGCGACTTTCACTAATTTGTAACTGTTCATATTTCTCGGCTTTTATGTCGAGA